CAGGCTGTGAAGCTGTATCTGACCTGCCACTCTTGCTACAAATTCCCCCCAAAGTCACATCAATAATACATTTCAACAGGCTAACCAATGCCAAGGGGCTCCCACATCTTAGTTCCGAATGGTCTATGCCCATTCCTCAGCAGGGTACACTGAGACCCAGAGAGGGCCAGTTCCTTGCCTGGAGAGCCTTCCCACCCTGTCTCCATGTCCTTAAACTGCTTTCTTTTCTTTTCTATTTAAATATTTAATTGATTTTTGTGTATTGACCTAATAGCCAACAATCTGGCCCTGTCACCTCGGCCTCCCAAGTAGCTAGGACTGCAGGTGCGCACCACCATGCCTGGCTAATTTTTTGTATTTTTTGTAGAGATGGAGTCTCACTACATTGTCCAGGCTGGTCTCAAACTCCTGGGCTCAACCAATCCGCCCACCTGAGCCTCCAAAAGTTCTGGGATTATAAGCATGAGCCACGCACCTGGCCGAGGCTGCTTTCTTCACGCACAGGAATTCAGGATCTTACAAGGACAAGGAAACGTAAGTATGTAAAACAGGATAAAATCACGAGGTGCCAAATACAGCAGCTGGGAGGCGTGGTCTTAACACCGCTCCCAAACAGCAGCTGCCCAGATGAACAAAGTTGCCAGGAAACTGGAACATGCAGAGGGGCGGTTTAAGTTCCCGGAGCGGCAGAGTGCAGATTCAACCCGGGGTGAACTAACGACCCTCAAGGAACTCTTCCTCTGTGAACACGCGGGGCTCTGACCCGAGTTCTTCCTGTTCAGCTTCTTGCCAAAGCAAAGAGTGTGAAGGAAGAGACGCAGGGTCCTGGGTGGGGGAGATGCTGAGAGTATAGGGAGGATGTGTCTGCAGACTGTCCACAGATGAAGCGTCTGTGACTCAGGACTGCTCATCTCAGACCTGGGGGATGGCTCCTCTTGAAATAAGCACCAACTCGGCCGGGCGCGGTGGCTCAAGCCTGTAATCCCAGCACTTTGGGAGACCGAGGAGGGTGCATCATGAGGTCAAGAGATCGAGAGCATCCTGGCCAACATGGTGAAATCCCGTCTCTACTAAAAACACAAAAATTTGCTGGGTGTGGTGGCGCGTGCCTGCAGTCCCAGTTTACTTGGGAGGCTGAGGCAGGAGAATCACTTGAACCTGCGAGGCGGAGGTTGCAGTGAGCCGAGATGGCGCCACTGCACTCCAGCCTGGGTGACAGTTGAGATTCCATCTCAAGAGAAAAAAAAAAAAAAAAGAACTAAGCACCAACTCACACAGGACCCTCCAGTGGCCAACCAAAGAGATCACCTTCAAAGTAGTGTGCGGGGTCCAGATAGGGTGTGGGCAGGACCAGACTTAATTTTGGGGTCAAAGGACAAGTCTTCCCTTTCAGTTATGGTCTAGGAGAGCCATGAAGGGTCTCCCTGGCCTCCCCAAAGCCTCAGCTGGCAAGGGGGCTCCAGGTTGGCCTGGGGTGAGAAGATCCAAGCAGCTTCCGCCTTCCTATCACCCCCTCCTAATACTGTGTGCCAGCTCCTGGGGTGGGCTCTGTGAGCCAATGGGTCCTACACAGCCTCCCCATGCTTCAGTATTTTCACTGTTGCTAGGTAGAACTGAAGTGTACCCATGCCCAGACTAACCACTCTATAGAACTGATCTCTTTCCCTAACAGATGACCCCAGAGACGTTCCTCATGACCCGCAGGACACACCCTTCATTCTGTTGTTGAGGAGCTTAATTATTGAGTATTAGAAAACAAGCAAGGCGCAGTGGCTCACGCCACTAGTAATCCCAGCACTTTGGGAGGCCCAGATGGGTGAATCACCTGAGGTCAGGAGTTCGAGACCAGCCTGGCCAACATGGTAAAACCCCGTCTCTACTAAAAATACAAAAATTAGCCAGGTGTAGTGGTGCATGTCTGTAAGTCCCAACTACTAGGGAGGCTGAGGTGAAACCCAGGAGGCGGAGAAGAGCCAATATCATGTCACTGCACTCCAGCCTGGGTGACAGAGCGAGACCCTGTCTCAAAAAAATAAATAAAAGAAAAATAAAAAATAGAAAAAAATTTTTTGAGACAAAGTCTCGCTCTGTGGCTCAGGCTGGAGTGGGATCGATCTTGGCTTACCACAACCTCCAACTCCTGGGTTCAAGTGATTCTCCTGCCTCAGCCTCCCAAGTAGCTGGGATTACAAGTGCCACCATGTCCAGCTACTTTTTGTATTTTTAGTAGAGACGAGGTTTCATCATGTTGGACGGGCTGGTCTTGAACTCCTGACCTCAGATGATCTGCCCCCTTCAGCTCCCAAAGTGCTGGGATTACAAGTGTGAGCCACCGCGCCCAGCCTGAAAATAGTTTATAACTAACACATCAAAGCCAGTGATTTCAAGGATTATGACTGCTTCAGAGAACACTAAATGTATTTAAGATTACTGGAACCCTCATACACTGATGGTGGGAATATATAATGGTACAGCTGTTCTGAAAAAACAGTCTGGCAGGTCCTCAAAGATTAAACCTGGGTGGGGTGGCTCACATCTATAATCCCAGCACTTCAGGAGGCTGAGGTGGGAGGACTGCTTGAGACCAGAAGTTCAAGACCAGCCTGGGCAACACAGTGAGAACCCCATCTCTACAAAATAAATAAATGAGTAATAAAATAAATAAATAATTTTTTTTTAAAGTTAGTTACCTATGACCCAGCCATTCCACTCCTACAAATATACCTGAGAGAACTGAAAATGTATGTCCAAAGACCTGTACATGAATGTTCATAGCAGCATTATTCATAATAGACAAAAATGAGAAACAATTCAAATGTCCATCAACTGATAAATGGATAGAATGTGGTATATCCATATAATAGAATATTATGCAGCCATAAAAAGGAATGAAGTACTTAAAAAAAAAAAAGGGAATGAAGTGCTGATACATGCTGTAAGAGGCTGAACCTTAGAAACATTCTCTGAAGTGAAAAGCACCAGATACAAAAGGCCACATAGGATATGAAATGTCCAGCACAGACAAATTCACAGAGAATTTGAGAGTGGGTAAGTGGAAAAAGGATTAGGGAGTGACTGTGAAACAGTGTTTCTTTTGGGCATGATAAAAATGTTCTAAAATTAGATAGTGGTGATGGCTTTAGAACTCTGAGTATCCTAAAAAGTACTGAAACAGGTACTTTCAAAGGGTGAATTGTGTGGTATGTGAATTGTATTTCAACAAAGCTGTTATAAAAAGTGCCGGTGCGGTGGCTCAAACCTGTAATCCCAGCACTTTGGGAGGCCGAGGCGGGTGGATCACAAAGTCAGGAGATCGAGACCATCCTGGTCAACATGGTGAAACCCCGTCTCTACTAAAAATACAAAAAAAAAAAAAAAAATTAGCTGGGCATGGTGGCGCGTGCCTGTAATCCCAGCTACTCAGGAGGCTGAGGCAGGAGAATTGCCTGAACCCAGGAGGCGGAGGTTGCGGTGAGCCAAGATCACGCCATTGCACTCCAGCCTGGGTAACAAGAGCGAAACTCCGTCTCAAAAAAAAAAAAAAAAAAAAAAAAAAAAAAGCTAGCTTGAGATGTTTAAAAAATCAGGTGATACAAAGACGCATATTAAGTAAATAATAGTACAATTGGGGTTCAGTGGGGTGGGAGGATTCAGAAATGATGCAACAATTCCTTTAGGACCGTGAAATAAACCCAGCTTTACTAGGCCAGAGCGGAAGGAAAATGGGCCGCCCGGGCCACATCGCTACTAAATCCAGTGTGAGTCACAGACCTGTTCAAATCCAGAAGCCTGCCTTCACCATCAGACCACCTGCTGGGATGAAACGGCGTATCAGATGGAGGCTAGGGAGAGGTGTCCACCCACGGCCCAGTCCCGCAGATATGCAAGGGAATGTCTGATGGAAAGTGAGAAAAAGGGCCGGCTACTTCTGTGGGGTTCAAAACAGGAAGCACCCAACAATACCAGGAGAATGCTAAGGAAGGCTTCCCGGGGGAGGTGCTGCCTGAGGGGGGCTTCTGTAGGATGAGTAGGAGTTCAACAGCCCGCCTCCTCAACACCCCCATAGGACATTAAGTCAGGAGGCCTGTGGGTGAGTTTCAGCTCTACATATCCTAGCTGTGGGCCCTAGGGCCACGGGCAGGTGACCTCTCCAAGCCTCAGTCTCCCCATCTGTAAAAGGGGAAAGGGGCAAGATGTTCGGCATGGTGCTTTCTAATGACTGTGCCGAAGTGGACGATGGTTCCTTCCCTAGCGAACAGGCCTGTGAGTGAGAAAGCCAGACCTCGACCTCTGCCCCACCTAATAACGCCTGTGCCAGGTCAGGCGTGCGCGGCGTCTGAGCCCTCGCTCCCGGTCCCCTGCTCCCCTCCCTCCCAGCCCCGGCTTTCCGGGCACCTCCCATCCAGCTCACACGGAGAGGGGTTTGGGGGTCAAATTCTGCCCCGCTCCCTCCCGAGTGACCCCCAAGTTCACTAGGGCTCCCCAACCCCGTGCTCCCGACGCCCACCTCCCCGGCCGGCGATTTCCGCAACCCCCCCCCCACGACACGCCTCCACTTCCGAAGCTCCTCGCAACTCCACGGCGGCCGCAAGTTAACTTCCACGCGCCCCGCCGCCCGCCTGGGGGTCCCCGCGCGCCTGGGCGGGGTTGGGGACTCCGAAGGCGGGGACGCGCCGCCCTCCCTCCCGGTGCCCCCCCCCAACAGACGCTGCGCGTCTCCCAGGCGCTGGGTCCGAAGCGGGAAGCGCGGTAACCGGGGCCCGCTGGGTGCCGCACCCCGAGGAAGGCGCCCGGGACGCCGGGCGGGTGCGGATCCCAGAACCGCCCGCCTGTCCCCGAGCTCCCAGCTCCCAGCCCCGGAGCCCCAGCAGCCGCGCCGGGCCCGGAGGCAGCCGCCAGGACGGAGAGCTGCCCGGCGCCAGAGACCGACGCGCACGCGCCCCGCGCCCACGCCCCCGGCTGCGGCCCGAGGCCCCCCGCGCCGCCCCGGGGCCACCTACCGTGCCAGGCGCGGCGAGGCAGCCCCGCGAACCCGGCGGCTCCCGGCTCTCCAGCCACCCCGGCCGGGGGAGGGGGAGGAGCCCGCGCGGGGGCGGGGCCGCGGCGCCGTGACGCACGGGGGCGTGTCCGATACGCGGCCCCGCCCACGCTCCGCCCCCTCCACTCCGCCGCGGGACCACGAGGTGAGCAGAGGCTACCCCGGGAGTTTCCCGGCCCCGCCGCCCTGGACGCCCCTGTCCGCACGCTGGCTTACCCCTGGGACGGGCAGCTCACCACTTCTCCCAGACGGCTCTGTTGAAGAGAAGTTCCTTTCTGCCTGTAAGCAGTGAAGTGGAATGGTCACCAAAAAGTGGTGTAAGAAAGGAAATGAAAAGTAGCCCCGCAGCGGGGTGTATTTGGGCGATTGTTTGTGTAAAACACAGGAAAAAGAAAGTGGTCGAATGTATATTCATACACATCAGTGGTTTGGGAGGGGGTGATTTTGTCCTGACATTCCTCCACCACCCCGTCATTTGGCAATATCTGAAATATTTTTGGTTGTCATTACTGGAGAAGTGGAGAGGTGCCACCGGCATCTAGTGAGTAGAGGCCCGAGATGCTGCTAAACATTCTTCAGTGCACAAGACACCCTTTCCACCCCGCCCTTGCCACTACCCCAGCAAAGAAACATCCAGCAAAAAATACCAAATAGCGTAGGGGTTGAGAAACCCTGATATATATGAATGAAATAAAACTCCTGGCTATAACCTTTCAGTGCTTCTGTTTCTTCATGTGTAAAATTGGAAAAATAATAGACCTACCTATGCATCACACGCTTGTGCACTGAATACCTGAAGAAAAGGTAGGGTAGGCATGCAGGTTTACTTTTCACTGTGAAGCTTGGGTCTTTGTTCTTTTTTAACTTTCTATTTGCCATATGTATATATTATCTCCTTCAAATAAATTTCTGGACCAGATGCAGTGGCTCACATTTCTTAATTCCAGCACTTTGGGAGGCCAAGGTGGGCAGATCACTTGAGGCCAGGAGTTCAAGACCAGCCTGGCCAAAATGGTGAAACCCTGTCTCTACTAAAAATACAAAAATGACTTTGGGAGGCCAAGGCAGGTAGGTCACCTGAGGTCAGGAGATTGAGACCAGCCTGGCCAACATGGCAAAACCCTATCTCTACTAAAAATACAAAAATTAGCTGGAGGTCGGGGGAGTTGGTGTGCACATGTAGTCCCAGCTACTCAGGAGGCTGAAACAGGAAAATCGATTGCTTGAACCCAGGAGGCAAGGGTTGCAGTGAGCTGAGATTACTCCACTGCACTCCAGCCTGGGCAACAGAGTGAGACTCTTTCTCAAAAAAAAAAAAAAAAAAAAAAAAAAAAAGTAATTCCAGCACTTTGAGAGGTTGAGGTGGGCAGATCACGAGGTCAAAAGTTCAAGACCAGCCTGACGAATGTGGTGAAACCCTGCCTCTACTAAAAATACAAAAATTAGCCTGGTGTGGTGGCACAGGCCTATAGTACCAGCTACTTGGGAGGCTGAGGCAGGAAAATCGCATGAACCTGGGAGGCAGAAGTTGCAGTGAGCCAAGATCTCACCACTGCATTCCAGTCTGGGCAACAGAGCCAGACACCATCTCAAAAAGAAAACAAATACATACAAAAATGTTTGGGGCATGGTGCTGCTCACCTGTAATCCCCCCTACTTGGGAGGCTGAGGCATAAGAATTGCTTGAACCCAGGAGGCAGAGGTTGAACTGAGTAGAGATCACGTGACTGCACTCTACCTTGAGTGACTGTACATACATACACACACATAGCGAGAGAGAGAAACTAAGGCACACAGATATTAAGTACTTTGCCCATGGCCAGCCATGTGTTCATTCATTAATTGATTCATGTGTTCAATAGTGCCCGCCATATGGAAAATGCTGGGACTGATAAAGCTGCCTCCATGGAGCTAGCTATTGCTGATCTGGAAACAATAAAACAATATTATATAATGTTTATTGCATGCATGTTAGAGACTTCATACGACTGATCTGATAGACACATAGTTTAAACACCAGCAGAGGGGTCTATAATGTCCTTCTGTGGATGAAAAAAATGGAGATCAGAGGAAGAGGTCTGAATGGGGGCATTTGCTTAGTAACATTCTAGCAATGGCATTTCCTGGGCTTGCTGTGCTAGGCACAGATTCAGCAGCTAACGGAGACAAGGGTCCTGTGTCTAAGTAGGGAAAGCTAAATCCTTCAACTGCCCTCCACAGTGAAGCCAGCACCTGTAACTGATGGGGCAGGAGCAGCAGGGATTAACCTGGTCCAGGGAGGGAGGGCCAGGGGTGTGCATACACGCCGGAGACCTGGGAAGAGTGCACCCGTCAACAGAATCCAACAGGTGCAAAGGCTTAGCAGGAAGGAGGCAAGTGTGGAGCTTTGCATGAAGTGCAGTGGACAGGATGTGGTGGAGGTGAGAGAAGAGATCAGAGGGGTCTGCATGGCTGGATGCCGCAGAGCTTTGTGGATCGTGAGGAGTCAGGGTTTTCTCTTGCAGTGACGGAGAGACAGGGAAGGGCATGGTGAGCCTGACTTTCCGCAAAGATTTCTCTGGCTGCTGCATGAAGAAGAAACAGGCAGAAACCGGTGTGGAGGCTGCTGAAATAATTTAGAAACCCAGAGAAGGGATGTGGGCATGGAGGGAGCGTTTCATTTCCAGAGATGTTTGGAAGACGGAACTGGCAGATGTCAGTTGCAGGACTCAGGAGGAGATCAGAATGATCCTTTTGTCTGGGCTGAGGCTTCTGTCAGCACCCCTAGCTCAGTGAACCTTTTCACTTCTCAACCTGTCTATCACCTCCTTGAGAAAGGCTAACTGTCCCCCAGGAGATCCTGGCGGACCAGACATCAGACTGTGCAGCCCAGGAATTTGATGGCAGACAAAATAATTGATTCCTCCTGTCTACATCCCCAGCCGGGAACAGCTGTCTAGGGCAGATACCTCTTCTGTCTTCCTCCTCAACCTGTCTTTCCAGAGTCTAGGCAAAACCCAGTACTTAAGAGGTCTTCAGTCAATATTGTCAAAAGAAGGAAGAATAGATGTAGCATAAAACACATTGATTCTAAAACTCTTTCCAGGCCAGGCGCGGTGACTCACGCCTGTAATCCCAGCACTTTGGGAGGCCAAGGTGGGCGGATCACGAGGTCAAGAGATCGAGACTATCCTGGCCCACACGGTGAAACCCCATCTCTACTAAAAATACAAAAATTAGCTGGGTGTGGCGGCGCGTACCTGTAGTCCCAGCTACTCGGGAGGCTGAGGCAGGAGAATTGCTTGAACCCGGGAGGTGGAGGTTGCAGTGAGCCGAGATCGCGCCACTGCACTCCAGCCTGGTGCCGGTCGACAGAGCAAGACTGTCTCAAAACAAAAAAACAAAAAAAAAAAACAAAAAAACAAACAAAAAAAAAACCTCTTTCTAGCTCTGACATTCAAGAAGATGATGTTGATGCTATATCAATGATTATACTTTAGGCCAGGCTCAATGGCTCACTCCTGTAATCCCAGCACTTCGGGAGGCTGAAGAGGGAAGATAGCTTGAACCTAGGACTTTGAGACCAGCCTAGGCAACATGATGAGACCTTGTCTCTACTTTTTAAATTAAAATATTTTTAAAACCACTTCATTTATTTTTTGAGATACATTCTCACTCAGCCTCCCAGGCTGCAGTACAGTGGTGTGATCTTGGTTCACTGCAACCTCCGCCTCCTGGGTTCAGGCAATCCTCCTACTTCAGCCTATTGAGTATCTGGGATTACAAGCGTACACCACCATGCCAGGCTAATTTTTGTATTATTAGTAGAGCTGGGATTTCTTCATATTAGCCACACTGGACTCCAATTCCTGACTTCTGGTGATCCACCAGCCTTAGCCTCCCAAAGTGCTGGGATTACTGGCATGAGTCACTGTGACCAGCCACACACACAAAAAAAAACACTTTATTCAGGTGCTTGCTATGTGCTAAACATCTTATAATTATTATATTCAAACTGATCATTTACCCCTTCCAACCTTTTCATATTTTATTTTATTTTTCGAGACAGAGTCTTGCTCTGTTGCCAGGTTGGAGTGCAGTGCTGCAATCTTGGCTTGCTGCAACCTCTGCCTCCCAGGTTCAAGTGACTCTCCTGCCTCAGCCTCCCCAGTAGCTGATATTACAGGCACACACCATCATGTCCAGCTCATTTTTTTTTTTTTTTTTTTTTTTTTTGAGACTGAGTTTCGCTCTTGTTACCCAGGCTGGAGTGCAATGGCGCCATCTCGGCTCACCGCAACCTCCGCCTCCTGGGTTCAGGCAATTCTCCTGCCTCAGCCTCCTGAGTAGCTGGGATTACAGGCACGCGCCACCAGGCCCAGTTGATTTTTTTGTAATTTTAGTAGAGACGGGGTTTCACCATGTTGATCAGGATGGTCTTGATCTCTTGACCTCGTGATCCACCCGCCTCGGCCTCCCAAAGTGCTGGGATTACAGGCTTGAGCCACCGCACCCAGCCTTTTTTTGTATTTTTGATAGAGACAAGGTTTTACCATGTTAGCCAGGATGGTCTTGATCTCTTGACCTCGTGTTCTGCCCTCCTCAGCCTCCCAAAGTGCTGGGATTATAGGCACATGCCCAGCTCATTTTTTTTTTTAATTTTCATTTTTAGTAGAGACAAGGTTTCACCATGTTGACCAGGATGGTCTCCATCTCTTGACCTCGTGATCCACCCGCCTCGGCCTCCCAAAGTGCTAGGACTACAGGTGTGAGCCGCCACGCCTGGTTACCTTTTGGTATTTTATTATCATTATTCCCATTTTGCAGGGTATGGAAGCAAAGGCTCCAGCAAGTAATTTGATTTGGCCAAGAATAATAGCTGGTAAACGTCAGAGCCGGAACGCACACTCAGGTCTTTCTTACCCTTTCCAGTAAGCTGGTAGAAGGCAGTGGCTCGGCAGTGGGCAGAAAGTGAAGGTGAGTGGGCAGGTTCTCTTCTCCTGCTGGAAGGATGTGGGATTACTGTTCCCAGCTGGGGATCCCGGCTTTACAAAGC